TATTTTTTTTACAATTATTATACAACAATAATTGGATTAGTTTATAGTTTTGTAATTTTTAAATATTATTTGTTACATTATAAATTGCTTCGAAAATCATATCATATCATCTTTAAATTGTATATTATTGTTTTAAGAAGATTTCACTGTATGGTATTTTCAAAAAAATTCTATTTATAATTCCTTTTAGGATTTCTTCAACCGCAAAACTGATCGATGGTTTTAGTTCATTTAAAATATCACGCCAGTTTTCATTGAGGAATTGATTCATCTGTTTTTTTTTTTTTTAATGAAGAAATTTACAAATTAAAGAAATGGTTAGGTATTTTTCAAATACTTACATTTTCTCCCAGTGCCTTGTCACCTAAAAATTAATAATATTTATTATTATTGTATCTACTACACTTTTGAATAAAAGGAGTATCTCCTACCATTGAATAAATTATCCAAATTTATGTGCAGTCGTTCTGTATTGAAATATGAATTTATTATTAGATATCAATGAAATTATTATTTTGTTCTCAAACCTGTATCGAAATCAAGCTGAAACCTTTCGGTTTGGATATATTCTTTGCCCGTTTTCTCAATAACTTTAGGTTTGTATTTTACTACTAAATTTGCGTTGTCAAAAACCAAATTCGCTTTGCCTTCACCTTGGTTGAAATATAAAGAAGTTTGTTGAATCACTGTTAAATGCATATTGTGAAGCTAAATTTTAAATTACCTTTGATAGGAAGAACAAGTACACGACCGTCAATTTTATATTTTCCGCTAATAGATATTTTTGGAACGATTGCATACACCTCATATTTGCTGGTACTCGGATCTGTATCAAAACCACTAAATAACAAATAATAAATTTTGTTCTTTGGAATAATTCATAACATATGAATGCAGTCATATTATGAATATAAATAAACAATTTTCCTTTTGATATTGATTGCCAAAAAAATATACTTACACGACTCGATTAATGACGGCATTGCTGATGCCTGATAAATCTAAATCCCTGAAATTTAAATTAATTGCAATCGGACTACTTGCTCCTTGAGTAATATCTATTCGGTTTATACGCAAGGGTTCTAATTTGGGAATTGCAAGACCAGAGTGTCCTAGGAGAAAATATAATATTCTATTTATGACATTTCTATTGATGATATTTCACAAGATAGAAACCATTTGGATGTTGTTGTACAATTTTTGTTATTATTTTTGAAAGACAGTTTGTATCAGATGCTTTACATTGAGGAATATCCAAGGCTGTGTGAAAATATATAAAATAAAAATAGACATGTACTTTTTCATAGTAATTAGAATAAAGGAATCCATGAATGGAAAGAGTATAAAAATTAAACTCAAAAGACAACTATATTCTACGAACGATTTCAACGTTGATTTTACATTTCAAACTTGATCAAATGAGAACTGGTTTCTACTGTAAAGTCATTACTTAAAACAATTTTTAATCACTCCAATTAATTTTGAAAATATATTTAAAACCATGTAAATTATTCTTATTTTATCATTTAATTAGGTTTCCATATGATGCATTAGTTATCCTTTCTTCTGAATAGATAATTGAACTTACGAAATTTCGCTGCCGATAAATTTCGCAGCATAATAAGCAAGCTAAAAGCAAAATTTAACTTCATAGTAATGATTTTCGTTGATTTCACTGTTCTAGAAGAGGTCAATTTTCAAAAATTATTCAATGAAATTTGGTTTTTGTAATGTTTTGCCTTTGAAGCTGATAAGCAACTGGTGAAATAATTTTTGAGAAGAAGGTATTTATACAATAACAAACTGTTTTGTTCTACTCTAAAAATAATATTGAAAAACATTCATTTCGGCATTGTCTCTTTTTCGAACCACAGAAATGAATTTCAATCCAAAATATCTGGTCGCTTTAGTGTGAAAAAGATGCAAAATACCAACATATATACGCATTCACGAACGTATGACGTGAAAAAAAGAATGATAACAAGTTTTTGTTATGTGTTATTTTTGTGCTTCTGTTATATACAAAACTAACTTACATATACTATACAAAAGAATTCTACACGTAACATTGAAGAAACGAGTAAAGCAATCGTGCAAAAAGAAATTGAATAAAAAAGAATAAACGAATTAGCAAAATAAATGTTTGCCTGACATAAGAGCAAAAATTTGCAGCGATCGAACAATCAACAACTAAGTTCTAACAACAGGCAAAAGAGAAAAATATTCTCGGTCTATGAAAATCAATTATACAATTATACATAAAAAGAAAACCAAGATTCTACTCCATAACTAATTTATTTAGTATGCGGAAAAATATTAAGATTCAAAAGATTAAATAAAGACTGAGACAAAAAATCCAACTAATCATTTAAATTCCACAATCACGATAAAAATAATAATTATAATAATAATAATAATAACTGCACCGAACAGCATTCCTTCGCCTTGGTGGTTTATTTAAAATAATTTAAATAAATAAAATATAATTAAATTCTTACGTCAAGAAGTTTTAATAATAATAATAATAACTGCACCGAACAGCGTTCCTTCGCCTTGGTGGTTTATTGAATATACTTTAAATAAATACAAAATAATTATATTCTTACATCTAGTAGTTTTGAAGGAGATTAATATTTTTCTCAGTATGTTTTCTATTCAATTCTATCTATTTTGTTTTAAATATTTTTCAATTCTCAGTTTGACTGTTGATAAATTTACTTCTAAATCAATTTAAGTAGTATCACTGTTTGGTATTTTTTTCGTATAATAATCATTGAATGTAGTAAGCATGTAATTAATTGGTTCATACTTCGTGTAATCGCTTCTTCTAATCGGTATATCAAAAAGCGGCGTTGCACGGGTATTATGCGCTGAATCATAATAATTTAATGACTTCATATCTCCATTAATAATTTTGAATATAAAAGACACCTGCGCCATCTCGCGTCTCTCCTCAAGCGTAATCATTTGTAGAAACAGGAGTCTATGCTCATATTAAGGAAGTCTATAGCTGTCCCAATTCATTCTCCTTAGCGCAAAAAGTAAAAATTGTTTTTGTACTGACTCTATTTTTTTGCACATATTGTCGTAGTGTGGATTCCATATTTCTGATCCATATTCTATGATTGGTAATACAAATGTAAAATAAAGGCGTCCATGGGTCAATAAAATCCTTGCTGTAGAACTTTAGCCAAGCCAATCTTGATTTTGCTTTAGCCGTGACATGCTCAATGTGTGATTTGAAATTCATTTGCACATCAAGCAACACTCCCAAGTCCCTTATTACAAAGACTCTTTCTATTTGAACGCCGCCTATGTTGTA